TCTCTCTCTCTCTCTCTCTCTCTCTCCCTCTCTCTCCCTCTCTCTCCCTCTCCCTCTCTCTCCCTCTCTCTCTCGTTCGTTCTCTCTGGGTATGTCTTTTGATCTTACATTTTCCTTTTACAGCTAATTAATTTTTCAAAACTCTCTTTTATGCATTTCAGCGTTCCAATTTATCTCCATGTGTGTGCGCTTTCACAATTTCTTCGATCTGTTTTCTGTTTTTGTTGTTTACATCGATGGGTGGATGGATCGATCGTAAGAACAGTTCCCTCGCTCGGCACCTTCTCTTCATCACTCTTGCTTCATTATTCGGGTTTTGATACTTGATTTATGAATGCTGCTGTGCTGTGAATTAGTTTTCAGAGTAGATGTTTCCCCTGATTGTGTATGGATGAAGTGATATAAATAAATATGATCCTTTTTTATACCCCTTTTACTCTCTTTTCCTTTCTCTCGATGGCTCTGCTTTGTATCAGTTCTGTATTGGATAATTTGGGATCTGCTTTTATTTATGTTCTTTATGGGTAATTAATTGCGTTTGATTTCTGACCGATACTCAATGCGTGCAGTGATATGGTCGTCTCCGTTTTTGCTCTTTTGGTGTTTTTTTTTTATTTCTCATGATTTATTAGGCAATATGCATATGCTGAAGTCTCAATTTGTTTCTTCTTTAATTTAATTTCCTCTTGTGTGATGATGTCTGCTTGTTAGCGTCTACCTGTTGTGAGATGGATTGGGGTGACTAAAGAGGCAACAAAATCGAAAGGTAGTAAGTAATGTGATACAAAGAAAGAGAGAAATGAAAAGAAAGTAGGGTGGCTGGAATGTAGTAAAAAAAGAGAGTAGATCAGGGAACAAATGTTTTTTTATCTATTTACTTTAGGGAAACTTTGGATGTGGTTCTTTTTTTTTTTTGATTCATGAATCTTGTTATATGTAACATTAAACTTCATAAATTTGAAACATACTTGAACCAAAAAAAATTAAAATAAAACGAAATAAGGAGTTAAAATATGTTCTTAATGTGTTTAAATTTTTAAAATCTAAAGATCACAATATCTTGTGTTGATTTTTACCATAGTAAAGAGTAACTTTAAACTTATCACGATATTTTCAACCCTATATGTATCTATAAATGATCCTGTTATGACATTTCTTTAATTTTGTGTAGTAAATCGGTTTGGTGATGGATTGATCTCTTGTGTACTCAGGTCAGGGCTAGATAAGGACTGGCAACCAAATTTCTGATAAGGGTTCTTTAATGGCCTTTGAGCACTGCGTTTCGCAGCAATGGAAAACCATCCCTAGCCCCGTGACTTTGACAGAAAATTTTGATGGGTGTTTTGATTGCAACATCTGCTTAGATTTTGCGCATGAACCAATTGTTACCCTTTGTGGTCACCTATACTGCTGGCCTTGCATCTACAAGTGGCTCCATGTCCAAAGTGCATCTCTTGCACCTGATGAGCACCCACAATGCCCTGTTTGCAAGGAAGATATATGCCACACCACAATGGTTCCTCTCTATGGCCGTGGCCAGGCCATAGCTCCTAGTGACCGTGATGTGAAGGCTTCCTATAGAGGTGTTTTCATCCCACCAAGACCACCTGCTTTGGGTACTCAATCTCTCATGCCAACATCATCTCAAAGTGGCCAGCAACTTCCATATCGCAATCCGTATCAGAGTCAGCATTTCAATCCTCCTTTATACCAAGAAGAGGATGAATCATCAACACAAATGCTTCTCAGTCCTGGTGCCATGGCACCAGGGTTCCCCCACCTTGTGGTTGGGATGTTTGGAGAGATGTTTTATACCCGAGTCTTTGGCAACTCAGAAAATGTATACACTTACCCAAATTCTTATCACCTGGCAGGAAGTAACAGCCCCAGGTTGAGAAGGCAAGAGATCCAGGCAGACAAATCACTGAACAGAATTTCTATTTTTCTCTTCTGTTGCTTCCTTCTGTGTCTCATCGTCTTCTAAGCAAGTAATTGGATTGTTCTGTATTTCTCCGTTGTATAATTTGTAAAGAAGAACGGGTTCAAAAGAACGAGATAGATTGAGTAATTGTATTTTAGGTTAAAAGAACTGATGTTCTTCAACATTTACTACAATATATTAGAGCTCCATTTTAAGGAAAGTCATTCTGTATGACTCTTGAGAAGTATTGTATTGAACTCAATTCTGTTTCATACTGCAGTTTTAAAAATTGAAATTTCACGTGTCTAGTTCAAAGTTTTGAGCACTTATTGGTTAAAGAGAACATATCAATCCAACCAAGATGATTGAACATAGACTGAGACATTTGGTCTGTTTACTTTGTAGAAATTAAAGGTCACATTCTGGTTAAATTATTGTCTTTGTTTTGTTGTGAATTTTGATTTGCAGATAAATGATGGCTGTATTACTGCCATAATCGCAGTTACAAACAGTTTTTTCAGACCTTGATCTCAGATGGAGTTATGGCTATTTCCTCTCTGAAGTTATTAGGGGCTGAGAAGAGGAGGAACAATTTTCAACTCACAAAATCAAGAATGCAAGAGTTTTCCCAAGATTTAACCTGTTTGAATAAGAGGTGTTTTTAAATAATCGAAACAGTTAAAATGATAAAATACTTATTTTCAAAACAAAGACATTACATAAACATATAAAAAAACAAAAGGATACTATACTTTAACAACATTTTTTTTTATAACATTTTAACATCATCTATATGTCATTATGTGATTGGTCTAATATCATTCTGTGATTGGTCTAATGGAATAATTTTAGACCAATCACATAATGACATAGATATGTTAAAATGTTGTAAAAAAAAATGTTAATATCATTATCCAAAGCAAAAATATACTTATTTTAATTGAATAATCACTCTTCTTTTAAAAAAAATTAAACGAAAGTCAAGATATTATAACAGGTTGATCCAATCAAGCTAAGAAATGAATATAAAAAATGCTTCTGACAACACGATAATTGTAAGGATAAAATTTGTGTGGTGAAGCAATGAGTTGTCCAGGATCCGCCATTATCAACCAACAAACGTCCAAAATTCATGTGAAACTTGAAATGTCTGAGTTCTGTTTTCTGGGAATAACTACAAAACGACGGAGCTAGTTTCTGAACAAAAGAACGTTTATGTCCAGCTTTATTTTCTCTGATGATGTTTTGGACTCCGTTTGTTTAAGTTTCAATACGTTGACCTTGGCCAGTGTAACATATGGAAAAAGAAAAAGAAATAATAATCTTATAATATAATAAATTAGTAACAAAAAGTAAAAAGGAAGAACTTTTTTTTTCAATGATATATTAACACAATAATATTTTGACACAAGTCATTTTTTAATTAGGTTTAGAATAATAATAAAGGAATAATATAATACTGAAAAAAATATACATGTGTTTTGCTAAAATGTCAAAAACTCAATGTCAATATTTTTTTCTTTTTTTTCTTTGACTATACACGCTTCTCATCTCTTCCTTCTCTTTCATTTTTAATTTCCAATCTTTGTATTTTTAAAAATTAATCACACCAATGAGAAATTTGGAAGTTAAGAAGTATTTTGAATCGATCAGATTTAAAAACAGAGTAAATTTCTATTTATCCTATAGAATCATTTCTCTTTAGTTTTCTTTTTGTTTTAGTCATCAATATTAATAGGAATACTTGATAGAAGTGATCTTTCAGCTTATTCTATCATGTATTGATATTCTGTTTTATTTTGATAACCTTATTCTAGGTCTCTGATCGAATAACAATGTTTTTATCGGAGCTTATTTTTAAAGAAGAGTCAATCTTAAGCTAAGGACTCTTAATAAAGATTCTAAAATATAATTGTTTTAACATTTTGATAACATTGAAATGCATGTGATGAAAACCTTTGGAGTTTGTTTGTTGTTTGGATTTTGTTTCTAGATATTATTTTTATTTATTCATGCTGAAATCATTATGTGATTTCTTCTATTTATGGTGATAATGATAAGGTTGTGGTAACTATTTATGATTGTTTATGCTATGATTAAAATTTAATGGCATGGTTTTTGAGTTGTTTTTCCTAATGTTGAATTGAGTAATTGGGGTGTAATTTTTTATAAAGAAATGGGATTGGAAAAAAGTCTATATAAGAAAACTTTGAAATAACTTAAATATACCTAATAAACAAGTTTAAATCATGTTAAAACTCTTTTATATCTGTCATAGCATTGGGTGGTACCATAAAATTGCTCGATGCCAAGCGATAAACCTAAAACAATGAGTTTTAGTGGTCCAGAGTGTCGGACGCCACTCTAGGACCGTTGGGTGCTCAAAAGTCAGTGAGCTCCAAGGTTCTAGTGTTGCAAGCAACATTTTTGCTGTTGGCTACACCTTGACTTGTTTTACTTAGATGCCTCGGTAAAATCAAGTTTCTTATTTTGTTAACAATTAAATTGAGCTGAAATTTTAACAATTAATTCAAGACATATAATTCTTTAATATGATTATGGAGATTTTTGATTGAAGGTTTGTGGTTGGAAAAATGATTTTCACAATTTTGATATAATTAATAGAAATATTGTAATTGAATGTTATGCTAATGCAATAGAAAATAAACGATGAATTATTAACATGTAATTTGAAGTAAACAATAGGTGATTTGTGTTATTTGATGAATTTTGGATTGAGGTAACCTATATATTTATGCAATGATTTAAGATTATGTGATAAATGTGATATCGTGAATGTAGTGACTCTTAGAGGGTAAGTATTATATTGATGTGATGTGGTGTTAGGTAACATATTGAGAGAGATTTCGTAGAGACCATCCTGACTCTACTAATATCTTACTTATGTAGATGAAGATATCTAGCTGGGAAAGTTAAAGGAGGTTTCTACAATCTATGTTTCGATATGAAAAGGATTAGACCTTGCAAATATAAAGAATTTACTTTAATCATGCTTTAAAGGGATTGGTGTCCCTTTGTAAACCTATAGATATAGTTCTTGGCACGAGTGAGTTATGACAGATGTCAAGTTTTGAAGTTTGATCAATACATTGATCTTCTCAAAGTAGAGTCAAGTGTTTATATTTTAGGTTGAGTCATGAGTATTGATTACATTATAGACATTTGGTTCTAAACGTTAATAGTTGATTTAAAGCTAAGGATAAAACATAGTTATGTGTTATAATTTGGTTGTTGTTGAAATCATAATTATGAGAGAGATGCATGAAACTGATAAATGGGATGGGATTTTGATTTCGATTTAATAATATACGATGACATGATTGAACTATTAGTTATTATTGAAATATATTGTTGGTTTACATAATATAACTAAATTTTCACTAGCTTACCATTTTCTTTTATTTTGCGGTGATTTTCCATCTATGATGATACTATATTTATATAAAGAGTAGATAATCCTATAGGTGATAGTGAGAAGAGCATTGAGGTTATACAATTATTATTTGTTTTATAGTATGGAAATGTATATTAAAAATCTTAAATATCCATTTCACCCTTGATTAAAATATATTAAAAATCTTAAATCTATTTTTTCTTTCTTTTCCTTCTTTAGTAGCACTAGAAGCTTGCACTTCTTCTTAGTTGCTTACTCATACTATATTATTTAACGCATAATACAATAATGTGTTTTCAACTATATTACCCCAACCACCCAAAATTACAGTGGCTGGAGGAAGATCGACGGTGGTTCGTTGGCGGAAGCAGCAGTGGTCGTAGGTGGCGCAGGCGGTGCACTCGATGGCATACAGTCCTTAGCAATGGCAAGGTCACGTTGAAGCTCCACCATCTTCCTCTACAGAAGAGCTATGGCACGCGGTGGTTCAGAAACTCTCTCACACATCTGCAACAATACTAGGCAACAATCCGGATTCAATAATTCGGAAATCCATGCATAGAGACATTCTCTGTCCATGCGCATAAGTGTGAGTAGACATGGAAATATAGGGCTTGATGGCTAAGGGCAAAAAACAAATCTTTGAACAAAAAAAGTTTGAATGTTTCTGCCTGATGTAATATGATCAAAATCTTTTAACTTCAGATTCACTTGTCTGGAAATCATTTTTAGAACATTCCGGATAATCCAGAGAATGAATCCAAATAATACAAAAAAACCCAAATAAGAAATGAAAAAGAAAAAAAAAAAAAATATATATAAGATCGG